ATCATGAAAATTACCATATATATCACTTTGTAAGGAATTTAAATCTAAATTCTTTATGTGGCATATGGAATTAAGATCTGTGCAGTAGTTACAAATTGGAAGAACAGAGGTTATTAATTTTTAGAAGTTAAATAAAACCATAGGATTAGAGATCAACAAGGAAGTGATGATACGTGTACCAGATTGGTAGCAGAGTGGATGATTTCAGATACTGAATATATTTAATATTAGTGGATAGATAAGGGGAAAAATGTAAGCGTTTCAGGCATATTAGTGGATAGATAAGGGGAAAAATGTAAGAGTTTCTGGCCCTGACATCAGGATGCTTCAATATCAGAAAACAGTGTGAATTTATCAACAGAAAAAAATTATGAAATTTTATAGTGCTGATAGGGAAGCAATGGAATGAAAAAAAAACTGAGGAGGGAAGACAAGTAACTGTTCATCTATGAAAACATGTGATCTAGGCTAGAAAGAGTCAGCAAATTTTAGAGATGATTCAAGGATTTGGAGGATATATAGAGATTAATGTTCTAGAGTTATATATATACAGTTGAAGTGATCAAGAATGTGAAGTTTTTGGAAGAGGTGAAGAGGATAAGTAATATTTATGATTAAAAGAGCAGTTTGAGTCAATGTCAGGTCTAAAGTTTGATTGTGGTTTGGCATAAACTTTAGGTGAAGTTCATAGGAGCTGTGTTTAGGAATTGCGAAGTAAGGGTGGAAGATGAGTGTTTTCAAAGAACATAGAGGTAATCTGGCACAATGGCAAGATTTGAGGTGGAGGAAAATTTTAAAACAGTACTTAAGTCAAGGATGACTATCTGGGAAAGATTTTGAAGCTAGTATTAGACAAGAGAGTTGAGAGAGTCAAGACTAAATAGCATAAAATTTAGAGAAAGGAAATGTTTCTGTGTGCTTCTTTGTTTTTGTTTTTAAACTTGCCAGTTGTTGTGTGCACTCACTGGAAAGAGAGAGATTGAAAGCAAGAAAGCACCCCTATGGGGCATGGTCATGTTGCAATCTCTTCTCCATTTCTCCTTCCTCACAGATTTTGAATACACACACACATGTGTACCCTGTGTGTGTCCCAAGCTGCTGTGTCTGGGACTTGAACCACACAATTGGCTATAAAGGATTCAGCTACTTTAACCACCAAACTATATGCTGAACCTAGGATATAACAGTGAAAAATTAATATTCTGATATTGCAAAACTGACAAGGTATATATATTATATATATATATATAAACATCCTGTAAGAGCACTGGTATGTTCTATATGGAAAATCAGCAGCATCTACTAGCAAGAACTCTGAAACAAGGCTGAGGGAAGAGTCAGACTTCCAAGATGCCACACTCTTCTACTAATCCTGATAAGTCTTCTCTGAATACTTTCTTTTCCTGTAAGTGCTGTCTTCTGATGTATATCCCCTGAAAAATAAATCTTCTATGGCATTTAATTTTATAAAAAATGTTATAGTAACATGTGTGTCTATGAATTTATCATATACATATTTTTATGAAATTATACCATTCATATCAAATATTTACATGAGCTCAGTTTCTGATACTATCATGCTAAAGGAGAGAAGATATACATGAATGATCCTGACTTTAATATATTACAATATTCTTGTGAGAGGTCAGCCAGTGGCATGGTGGTTAAGGCAACTGGATCCCACAAGGTCAACAGCATGATTTGAGTCCCAGATCCAGCAGCTTGCCCAAAATCCTGAGAGGGAAATAGAGTAGAATTGGTCATCTATCCTGGGAGTGGGGAGGTGCTTTCTCACTTTCCCTTTCTGTCTCTCTCCAGCCCAAGCATACATACCCTACAACAAATAAAGAAAGAAAGAGAAAAGAAAGAAAGAATATACTTGATGGAATATTGTGCATTTATTTTTCATGCACTTGGGTATAATTTCATAATTCAGAGTTATGTTCAGTTCATTCATGCTTCTATTTATTCCCACTCCATACTGCTCTTTAGTTCACTTTTGGCAATAAAGCCACTGTTTACAATATCCTCAGGGACAAAAGTATGTATACATACATACATGTACACACACATACACACACATATCATTTGAAATCTGTATTTAATGCATAGAGAAAGTATTATAACACATGACTCATAGCACATGGTATACCATCCATGATGGTTATTATTTTCCCACACTAAAAATAACTGTTTTGCTCCACTGGTAATCGTTACTCTTATAGTAAGTAGCTTAGTCTGTTAAGACTGTTAATAACAATATATCATGGGCTGTGTGGCTTAAGAAACAGAAATTTTTTTCTCACAGTTGTGGAGGTTGAAAGTCTGATCAAGGCCTAGCAACATTTCTGGTGAGGGCACCTTTATTGCCAGCTTATAGACAGCCAGACACCTTCTCTTAATGGCCTCATATGTCCTTTAACTGAGGTGTCCTTTGGGAAAGATGGGAAGAGGAGACAGGAACTCTCTGGTTTCTTTTCTTTCTTTCTTTTTTTTTTAATTTTTCTGATTTTTATTTATTTTTTTTTTATTTCCAGAGTTCTCAACAGTGGGAGAAGTAGAGGAAAAAAACAATGGGGCATGGTCATGTGATGATCCCCTTTCCTCCTCTTCATCATCCACTAGAATTCTAGGCACACATGGACAGGCACCCAACATATTTCTCAAGTTGTCAGGACCTGGACTTGAATCATGGTCAAGCCATGTGAGATTCTGCTCTTTATACATAGCACTTGACCACTGTGCCATGAGGCCATTCCATCAGGTACTTCTCGTAAGGACACTAACCCTGTCATATCGTATCAGGGCCTCACACTCATAATCTACTTTAACTTAATTACTTTTTAGAGACATCATCACTAAGCAAAGCCATACTGGAAGTTAGGACTTCAACATTCGACTCTGGGGTGGGGTTGGGGCACGAGAATAAGGTGCCTATCAGAGAGAAGTTAGTATATACTTAGGCCAAGAGTAGTTTCCTGAAATTGTTTTAGTCAATGGCATATTCTAACCAGTCAGTCCCAATGCAGAGGTATTAACCCATAACAAAATGTAGAGCCTAGACTTTTGTATCTATTACACAAACTATATGCCTCACAAGATTAGTTTGCTAGAATTTTATTTAATATGGGATAGAAGCGCAGAAGTAGGAATGATCAAGTCTTCTTCAGAGACCCAAGGGATCCAAACAACTATAGTGACTCTTGAACTAAAACTTGATCAGTAGAAAAATGAAAAAAACAAAACAAAGAAAAAACAAAAACCATGTAGAGTGAGAACAACTGCTATAATACAAGGAGTGTGAAAGGCTGTTACAGATCTGGATCAGTAAGTATTTTCCTGTAACTGTACTATCATATATGCAGGGTAGACTGGTTCTCAGGGAATAGGAACAGCCCAGGTGGGGACAAACTGAATTACGAAGGGAAATTTATCTTTAAAAAGTTAATATCTTAATAGCCAATGGCAAAAAGTTAATTTTCATTTTAAAATATAAATCTGATCACACTATTTCCTGGACGCTTTATGCACACTGTTAATCTATTAGGCTCCTTATATTTTATTTTAGCTTTGATGTATATGTTTTTCCTACCAGGCTTTGGGATGAACCATGGCAGGGAACACAGATTTACATCTCTAGTATGTCTCTGGGTACATAGCAGGGACTCAACCTATGTTTCTTTCCTGAGTGAAAGGTTTTAGAATTAGATGGCCACTGAGTTCATGTTCACAGATTAGATTTTCCAATTCTACAATTATAATTTCTAGCAACTTCTAGAAGATAAAGTATCCAGTGGTAGAAACAGTGTTTAAATTGCATTTCAATCTAATTAAGACCCAGCTTGGAAGGGATTTTTTTTTTTTCTTGGTTCAGACACTATTCCTTCTGTTCTTTCTCCCAGACAGAGTCTTTGTTTACTTCAGTGCACATGGTCTAGTCGTTAGCATTTGTTTAAATCTTCAAGTAATTGAATCCTCAGAGCAGGGCTGTTTAACTCACTTGAATGATATTTCAGAGATTCATTTTTCTTCATTCATACCTCACTAGTTTTTAGTATTAAGGGTGAAATAAGTGTTACATGAGTTTGTATATATTTTAGCTTGATTGCTCCTTCAAAACTGTAGCCCACATTCTCCTAGAAAATCTACAAAATCATTCAATAATGAAATAGCTCCTTTCTTTCATTCCACAATAACATGAAAGGATAATAAATTCAAATGGAATCTAAGTATTTTTCCCATCAGGATGATGTTTATAAATTATAATTTTGATTTTTATTATACATATGAGACAATATAATTTGAAATGTAATTATAAGGCTTAAAGATGAGCCAATACAAAATAAATTGTGTGCCTGTATAACAGAATGAAACAAAATCATTACGTTTCTTCCTTAATGATGATCGAAACAACTACTCTGCCCATCAGGCATCTCTTTATGTATATGTTGAGGAATATTTTGTAATTAATAACACTAGATCTTGATTAAATTTTATAGATACTTTGATTATATAACCTAACTTGTTTAGGGCCAGCTTTTTTTGTGTATGCATATGGTGGGGTGAGGGAGGTGAAGTGTTCACGGATATCTGTATTTTCCAGAATGTGAACATCATTATGTTTAGTACACTAGAATAACTATGTGGTGCTTTTATTCACAATTCCTTCCTACCACTTAAAAAGTACAACAAGAATAAGTTTGACTTGAGCCAATGCATTCACCATAAGTTACATAGATTTATTGTTTACATCTGAGAAACCTAGACGATTTTTCCTTCAGCTCGGTTTTGGCCCTACCCATTTCCCAACACTGTAGATCACAATACATATCCAGTATAAATGGAAGATGATTCAAATAGCCCGCTACTTGGATCCTAGTTAATTCATACTTATTGTAAAAAAAAATTAAAAAGTCATGTGTGCTGCAAATAGACATTGGTACATCATTGTAATTTGCTCATAAACTTCTCAGAGTGTTTTGCAAATGCTCTATGTCTAGCTTTGTGCTTATTTTTCCACGACCTGGGCATATCGTTGCTTTCAGGATTCAGTGGGATCTGGTCCTGTCTGGAAGTGGCAAAGGCCTATGTAGGGGGCGTGGTTGGTCTACAATGCACTGTTGGCCCTTTACCTTAAAGCTTGCTCAGCAAATGGAAATCTGTGTGACGTGAAACCCTGCCAAGTAGACCATACGGTTCTTCTATCAAAATTTGCCTTTTAACATTGCCCAGATGTTGGCTTTTTGTGACTGTGCTCAATCTGATATACCTTGTCAGCAGTCCAAAGAAGCTCTTCACAGCAAGCCATGTGCGGCAAACATGGTTCCACCCCCTACTTGACTCGATGTAATTCACAGCTGCCGAAATGATGAATTATGCAGGTGAGTAAAAACACGCATTCCTTACTTTCTTATTTCGGCACCTTATTTGTTACAGTCCAGTCCTAACACTTGATCTCATTACATTACCTAGAGTTCCCACCATCATCCAACGTGGTGTAAATAAAACCAGACAATTCATATTTTTTGAATCCATGGCATAAATCCTTTTGGAAATTCAAGTGCACAATAGGTTTTGAAAATAAATTCAGTATGCCAAAATTTGGTAGCTATGAAATAGCATTATTAAAATTATACATTCAAATTATACTAATACATTGGTTAATGAGCCTGGTTTATATATTGGCTTTTTAATTTATTGGTTGTCTTTTGCCATAATTACAGATTGCTGTCAAACATCAGAACGTTTCGGAAGGTGATTCTTTAATGTTCAGAATAAATCCTCTGTCTCAGACTGGAGCTCACAAAGAGGCGGGAAGCTTGAGTCCAGTTTGGAGAGATGTACTGGGGACAGTACGCACGCATGCCATGATGTCAGAAATGTGCCCCTTCTCCTTTTCTTCACCTCACATCCTTGATTCTCAGGGTAGTAATGTTAGTCATTTACTAGTTTATTTTTAGAAAATATATATTTATCAACTACCTACTATTATTTAGTAGAATAAGGGACACAGGGCCAGCTGTGGTGGCACAGTGATAATACAACAATCTGTGATGTTGAATCTACATGAGGAAGTGTCAGGTTTGTGTCCTGAGGACCCCCTGTACACGCCAGGGATATGCACATTTGTGCTCATGATCCGAACTGACTGAGGCTGTAGGCGGATCGCTATGTGAAGACCCTGTTGAAGGGGCCCATCTATTTTTCTCTCTCTCATGGGAGAAATCATTCAAGTAAAAGTGAGAGAGATAAAGATATTCAAATGACTGTCCTGTGCAGCTTGTATTCTAGTGGAGAAAGTTAGGTAATTAATAAATAAGGAAAACATATGTGATAGTAAGGTAATGAGTGTTCTGAATATGAAAAATATAGCAACAGAATAAAGATGATTGTGAAAGAGGTAATATGTAAATACAGTGATAATATTTCACCATATTTGAAGAAGTGAAGGATTAGTCCTCAGTAAATTCTAAAAAAAGAGACACCAAGCACACAGACCAGCCTGTGCCGAGAAACAGTGCGGGGAGAGTACACCTGGCGGTGGGGAAGGAAGAGCTGAGGTTAGAGACAACTGAGTGGACTGTGGCCAGCCTACATCAGAGAGGGTCTTAAGGGATGCTGTAAGGGCTTTAGATTTTACTCCGAGTGCAACGAAGAGGTGCTGGAGGTTACGGACAGAGTTACAAAGGCTCTGCCTCCTTCATGAAGCTGTTACTCTGGCTGCGACCTGAAACTAGACTTGTACCAGTGCAGGTATCTACACAGTTAGCCACACTTTGGTCTTTTCCTTTAATTCATAGGGCTTGCCTTAACACATTTTATTGTTAAGATCAATTTATCTTTGACATAGTCAGAAATCCACAGTTAAGTGAGCTTTTTTGGACAAGAGTAAAACACAGATTTGGTGAGTCAAAACTATTTGTAATCTCAATGTTATCTTTTCTTTAGAGGTGTTTTGTTGGTTTGTTTTTTGCCTCAGGGCATGTGCGCTCATTAGAGAGAGACAGAGACAGTAAGAGGGAAAGTGAGAAATCATCCCTGGGGGGATGGACAAGCTGCAATCCCTTCCCCTCCATTCTCTTCCTGGGTTCTTAGGCATGCATGCACAGGAGCCCGGTTTAAGTTTCAAGCCACCAGGTCTGGGACTTGAACCATGGTGGCTATGTGGGAGTGCAGCCACTTAACCTCTATGCCATCTGCTGACCCTTATGTTATCATTTTGAAGGAGTTTTATTTCACAACCATCATTACATCATATAATTTTTGGATTCACTTTTGGCTTTTTTTTTTTGAGTGATTCTTCACATTAAATTTGTTACGCAGTATCTTTGCTCAGGGACTGTTCAACCCTATTTTATCTGAATGAGTAAAACTCCATATATACCCAATTCATTTGAAAATAAACATTTAGTATGAAGAAGCAGCTCAGTGTGTGATAGCTCAGAGCAAGCTCTGTGTCAAGCATTAGCAAAAGACAAAAAGATGTAACGATAGCAACTTCCTGAAGGTTTTTGGTAAATGCTTTCTTTTGGGTTTTAACTATCTCCATTCTCTTATTCTTACTCAGTCTATCTCACAAAGCATATAGTTCCAGATCTTGTAAACATTTGTCACAAATGATACCTGCTTTGCTATAACATACACTAATAAGAATGGTATAGCTTTGATTATATAGCTTCAACTTATGCAGGATGTCAGACTCAAGAAAATTTTTGTTGAGATTCTTTTCACACGAATGTATATCAGTTAGTTAAAGGTTTATTAATAATGTCTCTTGAATGAATAATAAAGACTACTGCAAAAATAATTTTGTAAAGAAGTTTTTTCAAACTCATTTATCATTTCAAAAATCCCTATTAGTTAAATATCTTATTTTGTTGATCCTAAGATGCAAGTTTTTTACACATTTTTTTTTCTTTTAGAGAGATTTTTGCATTCACCAGAGATACAGAGAGAGAAAGTGAGAAGTCACCCTCAAGGGGGAATAGCCACACCACAATCCCTTCTCCTCATTCTCCTCTCAGGATTTTGAGCACACATGCACACACACCTGTGTGAGTTTCAAGTCTCTAGGTCTGAGACTTGAACTGCTGTCAACCATGTAGGAGCCCAGCACTATGCCAACTGCTAGCCCCAATTTTTTTTTTTCACATATTTTAACATACTTGACATATCTGGAATCAGAGTGAAGATCATGACTAAAGAAAATATTTGCCATAATTTAATTGCCAACAAGTGTTTTTTGTTGTACATAAAATGATGGTATTTTCTAAAATCAATGTAATATGGCAAATATGTTTCACTACACTACTTTTCTTTTATCAATAAATAAATAATTACTATCTGTCATCTATGCATATCATCTATCTATACTTACAATAAAACCTATTTAATGTTTTAGTTAGCCCCACACCGGGAGACATCATTATTTTCTTAAGCAATTCCTGCAAAAATATGTTTCCTTAGATAGGTACCCAGTTTTGCCCAATCCTGATGGCAAGGCCCAAGATATGCTACCTCATTAACCTAACCTCATTTGCACTCCATCTTCAGAGCATAATATTTTTGAGATTCCATATCAAATAAAATATTTTAGTGACAAGTGAAGGGATCAGCTGTTACAGACCTTGAGAATCTCTATGATAGATTCTGAAGCACAAATTCTTGCATTACTCTTCCCTTGACATCAGTAACTTCTCAGATTGCCTGACACAGCAACAAAAATTCATCCAAGTTTGGGCCAGCAGGCAGCATGGTGGTTGAGGTGCTGGACTCCCACATGGCTGACAACAGTTTGAGTCCTGGATCTGGCAACTTGCTTTCTTACTTTCCCTCTCTCTCTTTCTCTCTTTATCTCTCTCTGGTGAGCACATGTGCCCTATAGCAAATTTTTAAAATAATAATAATAGAATAAAATTAATAATTTTTAAGAAAACATCCTAAGTTTATTCACCTTTCCAAAGTTTTGGGTGCACAGTTTGAAACCAGATCTATACTCAGAAAATGTCATCTCTTTCCTCTACTTTTGAAGACTGTGCACTGAATTTTAAACTTTAATGTGCAGTCAACTGTCTTCTTTCATAATTTCTGCCTTTCTTAGAATTATTCAGAGAGGAAGGACTGTATATCTTTGATTTCTTTTCATCATGTACATGTACAAATAATTCTTTAGTGAATACTTTATAGAGGTGATGAAATATTATACAATATTATTAGTCATTGTGAAAAGATACATTCTATCAATTATCCAACAAATTTTGCCTTAGGGAGATTTCCTGAGTTTATGTCAAATAATTTATATTGTAATTTGTATAAAAACAATTCTCTAAATGGAAAACCACTTCTTCAGTGAGGATAATAAGCCTTTTATTATTTACCTATTTTGTAAAAGAAACTGTACATGGGCAAAGCACATATTCAGATTTTAAAATATAATTTCTGGTTTTGTACCAGATTTCTCGATTCATCAGGAGTTTGTAACTCCTCCATTTTTTGAAAAAGCTAACAAATTAATATTCTCAAAATACAGAGGCCATTTTTCAGTTAAGTTTATCCAAAAGTTAATAGCCCTTGGATATTCACTGGGAGACGAGAATATGTTTTACCAAATATAAAAGTTTGTGAATGTATAGAAAATTATATAACACACTATGTTTTCCTGTGTATGAACTGAAAAAAGTAGAGGAAAAGATATTTCCTTTCTTATAAGTTCTAATTACTTTTTTTAAAAAAGGATTTCGTGATAGGGTGCTTATGCTTGCTGTAGAGAGAAAGACAGTGAGAGGTAAATTGAGAAATCCCTCCCAGGGGTAGAAGCCTATTGTCTCCATTCTCCTCCTGGGATTTTGGGCATGTATGCACAAGTGCCCGGTGTGATTTTCAACACACCAATATGATTTTCAAACCACAAGGTCTGGGACTCTAACCATGATCCATTAGCCCTTAACCACTATGCCACCTGCTGGTTCTAGTTCTAACTACCTTTTAAAAGCAAATCTCTATAATATAATCATTTATTTTAATTTTAAGCAGTGTCATATACAAAAGGTGGCTACATACCAGTTGATGAAAGCAAATGCAATACATTCAATGAGGCAAAATTTACATGGACCACATTCTCCAACATTTGCAATGTACTGGACATTAAGAGAAGAAAGAGAAACAACATATTTAATTATTTTTTTAAATACTCTTTTTAAAAAATTGTCAGAGGGCACATGGGCTCACCAGGGTCAGAGAGAGAGAGAGAGAGAGCACCCCTCCACACACACACAACAGGGTAGAGTCATGAAGCAAACCCTTCCCCTCCATTTCTCCTTCCTGTCAAGATTTTGAGCACACACACACACACATTTGCCCAGTGTATTTTCCAGGCTACTAGGGCAATCGGCCAAATGAGATCCAGCTTTCTACGCATCCCATGGCATTTAAAACCTGTGTTCAAGGCCAGAGCTTAAAATATATTATAAACACTTCATTGTTTGAATAATAAACCAAAATAAAACACTGAAGAATATCAAGAAAATAAGAATATCACTATGCATCAAAACATTTCAAACCTAGGGCCAGCAGGTTAAGGCACTAGATCTCACATGGCCGACTCTCAGACCAAGGTGCTTGAAATTTATGCTGGGTAGGAGTGTGTGTACGCTCAAAACCCCAAGAGGAGACTGGAAGAGACAGGACTGCGGTGTGCGATCACCCTTGGGGGATGATTTCTCACTTTCCCTCTTTCTCTGACTCTCTTTGTCTCTCTCTGGGGAGCACATGTGCTCTATGACAAAAATAAAAAAAAATTCAAACTTAAAATGAAAAATTTTGATATAAAAATTCTGATGTATTTTAAATTTGTGATTTCAAGTTATCTAGGTAATTAGTGTACTAAAGAATTATAAAATTTTAAATTATATATATTCTTTGTTAATTATGCTGAAAAATGTTCATGTCTTATTTGCTAAATGAAATAACATCAATGGATAAATTACGCAACTTAAACTTAGTAAAACACATATTTAAAAAAGAATAAATGGTATCTAGGTAAAAATGTATTCTGTATCAACCTCTTAAATAAAACCAAATGCTTTTAAAACTGACATCTCCTCTGAACTTAACATTTAGAGGATATCTCTTCTATAACCCTTAATTGCATTAAGTGAGCATATAGCATTTGTTCCTTTGGCCTCAGAATTACATGCTCAGGAGATTTATAATATGTTTTTTTCTTGATTATAATATTTTAAAATGTATTATTTCGTTTTCACTATTACATTAAAAATCAAATACTTATGAAGACTTAAGGCCTAGTTACAGGAGTAATGGCATTGGAGCTTGCTGCATAGTGCTGGATATCAGAGAAGAGGACTGGGATCATGTCTAGCCCTTGGGTGGCCTGTGGTCCTGGTTGGCTGCAGGGCTGGGAGAAGATCATGATGGAAGGAACCTGTTGAAGGTTCCCCTTATTTCATAAAATAAATAAGTAAATAAACTGAATCAATACAAAAATTCACCCATAAAACATGACTTAAATGTTAAATTAGTGAAAACAATGTGGCTTTTGGCATTTTGGCAGAGTAGCACCATGTGGTCTAATAAACTCATGACAAGTGTCATAATTCAGTGGGCTCTCAGGCATGTTTGATGGCACACCATTCAAGAAAGGGTAAAACGTAATTTTAGATGATAAACACTAAGCTGGAAGATTAATATTCTTGGTTCCGTTGAGAACAATATCTTCTTACTGTGAAAATTTCAAAATGGAATTATTAGACATTATCCCATAAAAGGATAACTTGTACTCAAAGTTATTACACCAGGAATCAAATACAGTCAGAAAATTTATGAATGAATGCAGCGCCAGTGGATTATCTTGGCCATTAAATAAACTCATAATGTTTTGCTTTACATTAGCTCTTGCTGCCAGAGAACTTCAAAGCATTTCACAAGTTCTAATTAGTCTGCTTAGAGATGTTGAGAAAGAGTACAACACCTCCCATCCAGTGGGAAAACTGGCTTGAAAGGACAAGCACCTTATTTTAAATCATTTGGTGTGAAATAGTGGCCAAATGCTAGCCACAAAACCACATTCAGCTTCAAAAAAATAAATACTAATAAATCTCTCAAGTAGTTCACACTGCAAATCATCACCCACTGAAATAAAATTAGTAATGAAGTAAAATTCACCCAGGGAATCCTAAACTTAGCCTCTGTCTTTCATCACAAAAGGACAATAATTCACAAGATTCCTGTACTTTTTCTTCCACGCTCCCTATTGGGATGTTTGAAAGTATAAGTGAGTTTCAATTAGGTACTGGCATCCAGGAAGCATTTTGTTTTATGTCAGTTTTTCATTAGGTGAGGGAGCATTATGAGTTATTGTGAAGTAATAGTATTCAGAGGATAATTCTATTTCTTCACTCTTTTTGTAGGAGACACCACAGAACATTTCAGTCAATATGATGGTAGCATGTGACTGGAAAAGTGCCATGAAGATGAGACTTACATCAGCACTGTAAGCAAACAGAATCTCACTTGTTCAGGAAGTGATGACTGCAAAGCATCTTACATGGGTACCCTTGGGATACTTCCTCAAGTGCAAAGCATCTGTAAGACCATTACACAAAATGAGGAATCTTTGTGCAAGATTTTCCAGCACATATTTCATAGAAAAATCCTGCTTCAGTAAATTACTCAAATCAAATTTCTCCCCTTTAAATGTGCCTATTTGTTTGTTTTGTTCTTGACCATACAGCACAGAGTGATAATCCCACACAGAAAATTTGCTCACGAGGAGAATTTTGTGTTTAGAATTTTGTGTTTAGAATTTTGTTTTAAAATCTATGATTTTATGATTATGTTTTGTGAATTTATCATTTTACACATTTATCAAAACTGGTATATTGGGACCAGCAGTTAGCATAATGGCTATGTTGCTGAATTCCCATGTAGTCGACCGTGGTTCGAGTCCTGGACCTGGTGGCTTAAACTCACTCCAGGCATGTGTGCGTGCGTGCCCAAGATCCCGAGAAGAGAAAGGAGGAGAAGGGATTGCGGCATGGCCATCCCCCCTGGGGATGATTTCTCGCTTTCTATCTCTCTGTCTCTTTCTGCTTTTCTGACAAGCGCATGTGCCCTATAGCAAAAACCTCAAAGACTGGTGTATTTTCAAAATGTATACTATAAGTCATTCATAGTTATCACTTATTTATTTCAATATCAACAAAATAAAAGATTCATCCTATTGGATATCTGGATATTTCTGGTATCTTTTGCTAGTACCAGACCATGACAAAACTTAATGACTTAAAACAACAGCTATTTATTAATATTTTCTCACTGGGCTAGGCTTAGCTGGGTGGTTCCTCTGATGGTTTTGGTTATTCTGGGCACTCATATAGCTAGAGTAATCTAATGGTTCTACTGAGGATGGATGGTCCAAGATTGTGTTTACCAAGCACTGTTGGCCTACATGGGATGGTTCTCTTCTGTGGGATCTATTTTACATTAGTCTGAGATTCACACATAGCAACAGCAGAATTCCTAGCAGATAAGCCCCAATGTGCACCTATTCATCAAGTGTCTGCTACTGTCATACTTGAGAATATTCCATTGAACAAAGAAAGTCACATGGCCAACTGCAGACTCACTGTGGGAGGGAGCTACAGCAAGATGTAGATATTTGAGGTGAAATTCATCAGAAGTGATTGATTCAATAATCTATTATATACAGCTATACTGAACTACATATAATATATTCACCCTTCAATTTAGTGGTTTTTTTTTCCCTTGGACTTTCATATATCTGTTAGTCAATTTATAATAATAAAATGAAAAAGACACTTTCTGAAATTATTGGTTGTTATCACTTAGGGATAAGAAAACTGATATTCAGAAATTTAAATAATTCTTCCAAAGCTTCAAAGTGAACAAATGATCAAGAGGGAGTTTTTTAAAAAGTCTTATATGAAGAACCTGAAGATATGATCAGTATGAATTCATAATCTCTCCACTATCCATCTTCAGAATATTCAAGATTAGTCCTTGCAACCATCCATATTCCCAAACCTCCCCAGACCCCTAGGCTACTAGCTGTAGCAGGTCCTATTTCAAGGAGGAAACATTAAATATATATTGTTTCATAGCAAACCACGTCTTTATGTTTATGGAAAATGTTTGACAGATACAGATTTACATATGTATCTAAATCTATATAAAGATACACATGCGTTTTTCTTATTTTTTTCATAGATACTTAGGAGATACACATTAGCCAATGTTATTGAAACTATGATTTACTGTATATTAGATAATAATCAATAGTATGGTTTTGATTCAACAGTGTTCTTTATGGAATATCTGCAATTCCTATAATTAGCACTACAGATATATTTCAACTGAAATAATGGTAAAAAGAGGTGAATTTTAGTGTTGTATATGTTATAATTTTCCTCTCTGGTTAATATTATTTCTGTTGAAACAAAAAGTACTTATAATTAATGGCTCTTATTATAGCAGAAAATATCAAATACTCAAATAAATTAAATCCATGGCAACATAAACTGTTACAGGCAATAGTTATTTATATGTGTCTTCTCTACATTAAATGGCATAAAAAAATACATAGATTCTACAGGTTAGTAATAACAGTTTCTTGAGGGGTCAGCAGTTAGCATAATGACTATGTCGCTGAACTCTCATATAGTCGACTGTGGTTCGAGTCCTGGACCCGGTGGCTTAAACTCACGCTGGGCGCGTGCAAGTGCATGCGTGCCCAAGATCCCGAGAGGAGAATGAAGGAGAAAGGATTGCAATGTGGCCATACCCCCAGGGGTGATTTCTCACTTTCTGTATCTCTGTCTCTCTGTCTCTGTGGCGAGCACACACGCCCTATAGCAAAAACCTCTCAAATAAAAAAAAAAAAAAAACAGTTTCTTGGACATATGTTCCACAAAATGCAATCCAAGCATCCGAATTCTAGTTTTAAACCTGTATTTCTCCAATGCATTTCTCATTTCTTATACAGTGATCCACCCACTCCAGTCTGGTTTCTGGGTATCTGCTCACAAAAGCAACTTTCTTATAGGTTATCAATCACATCCATTTGAGAAATTCCAGAAGTCCTTCTATTACTGGGATTTAAAGTCACATTCAAGAAAAGTGAATGTTTTTCTTTTTTTTCTTAAATTTTTATTTCATTTTCTTTTATACATTCAATCACATTACTTAGCTTACAAAGTGAATATTTCAATATGTGAACATGTCTCCATAGACCAATTGATTAAACTATAAAATATCTTCAACAGACAATACCACATTTCTTTGTTCCATTAATGCTTTGCCTCTGTATTTTTCTTCTAAATGTCCTTCCTTAGGCCCTACTCTTCTACATACACTATATCTGGTATTCATACCCATTTACTGTGTTTTTATATCCTTTAGTCAATCAGTTTCAGTCATAGAGTACAGACATTCGGTATATATTAGTGGGGACATACAGTGTCTCTCCTTAATAGCCTGGCTTGCTTCACTCAGCAGTAAATCTTCCATATTCTTCCACTTTCTGTCAAAAGCCAGGGTTTTCTTGTTTTGTATGGCTGAATAGTATTCCATAGAGTATATGTGCCACAGTTTTTCAATCCATTCATCTGTTCATAGGCATTTGGATTGGTTCCATGTCTTAGCAATTGTGAATAGTGCCACGGTAAACATCGATGTGCAAGCACTTTTCTAAAGATGAATTCTGTCCTTTGTGTAGATACCAAGGAGTGGAATTGCTAGATCATATGGTAGTTTTATTTGTAGATTTTTGAGGAATCTCCAAATTGTTCTCCACAGTGGCTGGACTAATTTACATTCCCACCGGCAGTGTAAGAGAGTTCCCCTTTCATCATACTCCCGCCAACACTTATAATTTTTTTGTTTTTTTAATCTTAGACATTCTGACTGGGGTTAGGTGGTATCTCATTGTTGTTTTGATCTGCATTTCCCTTATGATTAGGGATGGTGAGCATTTTTTCATATGCCTTTTGGCTATTCGTATGTCATTTTTAGAGAGTGTTTTTTTCAACTCTTTCTCCCATCTTTTAATAGGGTTGATCATCTTTTTTCCAAACAGCTGCTTAAGTTCCTTGTGTATTCTGGTTATCAGTCCCTTATCTGATGCATAATTTACAAAAATATTTTCCCATTCTGAAGGCTGTTGATTCACACTAATTACTGTGTCTTTTGCCACACAGAAACTTCTTAGTCTGATGTAATCCCACTTGTCTATTTCGGGAATTATCGACTGTGCTTTGGGGGTATATTTAAGAAGTCTTTCACTACCCCAAAGTCTCCTAGAGTTTCCCCAGTGTTTTCTACCAGCAGTTTTATAGTTATTACTCTTGCTTCTTGGCTCTTTTTTCTCTATTATGCTGTATGTTTCTACTTTGTTTATCGCACTGGCTTATCCAATTAGTCAGCTAATTTTCATGTTACAAATTTCAGCTGTACACTTGTAGAGTATATGGAGTCAGGATGGTTTAGTCTAGCTCCCTTACCTCCCATCTTATCACGTTTGAAGGTCACAGGATAAACAACTTACGTTAATAGTTGTACTGCACTTGCACGCTTGTGTTTTACACCACTGAATGTAACATGCATATGTGTGTGTGTGTGTGTGACGGTTTGGTCTTGGCATAGAGACACTATTGTCTGCAGCCCCTTTAAGGGAAAGGAAGCACCTGGTCTGGCTAGCCCTGCTCAGCTTGGCCCTGCTTGGCCCTAGGAACCTTGGTGAGCCCTGATGGCTTTAGCTCACTCAGCTCAGCTCAGCTCCATGCTATTGTGGGCTCTGTGACCTCCAAGAGGGAGGAAGTGCTTCCAAGTACTCTCCCCATACATTGTAAGCTCCAAGTGGGGGAAGCACTTGCAAACACTGCTATGGACTTTGCAAGCCCACCTTCAACTGTCAGTAAACAATATGACATCAATGCCTCATGTCTTTTTCTAACTCTTTGGGTCTCTGTTCATCCCAATCTTTGGAGAAGGAAAGAACTTCACGAAACAAGGCTCTCTCCTAAAGTAACTGTAATTTTCCCCTAGGATATCTCATCGATAGCCACAACATTGTTAGTGCTTACATTGGTTTATAATGTTTGAAGAATATCTCTTCTCTAGCTACTGACCCAATTATCACTCTATTTACTGATATCTTCTTTGGAATTTTAATATTGTGATAACTGATATAATAAATAAGATCTCAAAGCTGAGTGGTGTTAACAGTGTAAGTTTATAATGCCCAGTCAGCATTAGGAGTGGTCATTAGAAGACTAACCTCTTCAACAGGTACATCTGCTATAGCACAGGACATCAAAGTCTTCTCCACTCAGCTGGAGGACATGAAAAGACAGAATACAGAATGCCCCACGGTCACAAAGGAGCATCTTATGGTTTCATAGTGACAGCAGTGCACATCATGGACATCCAAGCACTGACTATAACTCAGTCACCTGGCCACACCTGTCTCAAGGAAGGCTGGATAATATATTATAGCTTTGTGCCAGATGGAAAGGCAACGGTGGTTATTACTCAGCAAGTCTCTACCGAAGTTTAGCCTCCTATTTACGAAATATTCATTTCATTCTTCTGTTCACACAGAATATATTTACCCCTCCCCCCAGAATTACCTGAATTTTTCATTCATTC